AAATACTGTAAATATATATATATATATATATACATATATATATACATATATATATATATAAATAAATAAAAAAAAATAATAATTACGTACAACGTAAACGATCGAATCAACAATCGCTCGATTTCGATATACATACATCATATTAGAGAGAATGAATGAAAAAGAGTGTGTGTTAGTGTGTGTATGAGAAAGAAAAAGAGAGAGAGAAAGAGAGAGAGAGAGAGAGAGAGAGAAAAGTGAGAGAGAGAGAGAGAGACATATAAACAAACGGAGATTTAATCAAAATATCTCCGTATGATTATTCTTATTTCTTTTGTCACAAATATATATATATATTTATTGTATATAATTCGTCGACGACTTCATAGTAAACGCGATATTTTGTTTTTAAATGATAATTAGTCATGACGTATATATATAATGTACTATAATAAAATACCAATAGATTTAGTTGAAAACTTCGTTTCTCTTTCTTTAGATTTGTTTTTTGTTGATTTTTTTTTTCTTCAATTTTGTTTTTCTTCTTCAAAGTTTTTTTTTTATTCCCCCCCTTAAATTTAATTATTATTAATTTCTCATTGATAAAAAAAAACTATTCGATAGTCGACGGCGCACGAACTCGCAATAGGAGTGTATTTTACAAACAAACAAAAAAACACAAAAATAATAAAATATAATGATCATTATCTCGCAACCAGAAAGATTTTTTCTCTTTCGAATGAATGAAACTTCTTTATCATCGATATTAAGAGATCGATGATTCAATAATTTCATATCGATCATTGTATATACAATACTACGTTGTTAAGTCATTTTTATGACGATCTATAAAATTATGGTTATTAATTATACTTCCTCGGCTCTCTTGGTGTATTAATACATATTTGTGTATATGCGTAATAACGCGCGTGTGTGTATATATATACATATATCACAATTTAATAAATCCCCGGTTTCTTTCTTGTGACTGAGAGCACTCCGGTATACTCTCACTAGTCAAGTGTTTCCTTCATTCATTTCAGCATTTTCCTTAATCATAATCGATCTGTCGATCAATTCGCATCATTCAGAATGACCTTTTCAAAGATCTCTTTTAAACTTGTATATGTTCCAACTAAAAGACCGATTACTCCGATAATAACAATAATTAAATTTTTAATAAGCAATAAAGCCCTGGTCCATCGACCAGATTCTTTCCAACATGTGCAGAGTTGAATAATTGCTGGGAATCCTAAACCGAGAGCTGAGAGACACAATGCACCAAACAGAGATATGAAGTATTCCAAACTTGGAACTGCAATGGCCAGCAAAGCTAGAGAACAAACAAAAATAATAATTAATTAATTTAATCGGTATATTTTATAAATATTACATATAGGATTAATAAAAACAAAATTGGATTGGTATAGTTGAAACTATTTAGCAATATAGAATTCTTGCAATATTTTCATTAAAATATTTATACAAATTTGTCGGGATAATAATAAAGCAAGCAAATAAACGATATTTTATTTATAATATAGAATAATCAAAGATTTTAATATATACGTAAAGGTATAAGGATAATATAAGAAATGTCATTTAAATATAATAAATGAATGAAATTATAATAACACTTGCAATATGTTTCATAATTTAAAGATCCAAAAGTTTGATAATCCAATATTTATTATAAATAAATAATGTGCGTTAACTTTTACAAATAATATTATTCATTATATTCTTTTTTGTCTCTTGTATCAGTATCATTTCATACGTAAATATAGAAAAATTAAAAGAAGAATAAAAAAAGAAAAGGTATACGCCTTAAATAAAATATATTCTCTTATCGTATTTAAAATGTTTACTTATAAATAAATTAATGAAAGTTAGCAAAACGAGACGCGATTTATGAAATTACATATACATATATTTAAATTATATTTACCAGTGATTAATACAAGGCCAGTCCTGACAAGATATTCCCATAATTTTCTGTAAGAATTCTTTTCCAAACGTGGACTTAAATACTCGTTCCAAACAATATCGATTGCTACGTAACATTGTATAGGTTGGGTGAAATAAATGGCCAATGCAAGAAGAAGTTGTACGGATTTCGCTAATGCTTCGTTCGATGGAAGATTCAACGTGATACTGCCCTTTATGTCACTACCATAACGTATATATCCACAAAATCCCATTCCGGCATACAAAACAACGATTGTACCCATACCAATATTTAATACACCACACGAAGATGTGAAATATTTTGGTTTCTTCATCTCATTTTCCAACGGCATGATCTGTAAATTATACAAAAACATATATACAGGGTGTCATAGCAAAATTCATATACGTAATGATCGAAAGAATATGTTTTTTTTTAATGGAACCTTACTTTTGTAGAACATAAAAAAAGAAAAAAGGAATTTAATGAACCTTTCGATCATTTATTCTCTCTCGACATATCGATGAATGATTTGAAACAACAATATTTTCTCTCGTCAATTGTTAAATATATCTTTTAAATAATATAAAAGTAATGAATATAAAATATAACTTACCACACCGATAGCCTCAAGTGCAAAGAGTACAGTCCCAAAATAAAGAGGAAAATTTTCGATTTCTCCAACCGGTTCACGATTATCAAATGATAATGGATCCTTGAATATGTAGTATAGTATGATACTAAAACTTACGAATGTTACAACAGTGGCAACTTTCGAACAGGGCACCAAAAACTTCAGATTTTTAATCCAGTTAATAAAAATCAATGGCAAAATTAATAGTACCATGTATATTTTATCGGTCATATATAGTTTTGCATCTTCGGAAAGGAAGCTTTCGAGTGCCTAAATATAAACAAACAAACAAAAAATACAAACTTTATTATTATTTAATTTTGCAATGATTTCGATGAATTTTAACATCTATCGGAAAATTATGATTTTACGAGAGAAACATATGAAATGGAAAATTTTCTATTTGTAAATTATATAATCACACGTGTATTATATGCATATATATTATATCAATATATTCCTATTATTCATATAAAGAAAATAATTATACTCATATTAAAACACTTTCAATTGTGCGTCACAATAATCTATTATTTATATCCTTGCACGTGAAAGACAGTGATACTTATCGTGTTATTATAATTAATTCGACGCTATCTAAAAATAATAAAGATTCGTTGCAAAACAACAAAATATAAACATGTTAATATATAAAACAACTATAGACGAGAATTAAAATTACTTTGTCATGATATTGTATATGCTATGATGATGATTATTATAGAATTAATTCAACCCCGCGTAGAGAAAATATTTTCATATAAAATATTAAAAAGATATTCAATTAAATAACAAATAATCAAATATCAATAAAATATTCTCTCAATACTTAGATAAGGATAACGAGTATTTACTATCATTTTGATTGCCAATTAATTAACACGCAATTAACTATTGAAAATGAGATTATTGATTAAACGAGATTAGAAGAAATATTGGCACGTGAATTTATATCTTGATAAATATTGTAATATGTAATCAATAATCTTACTCGAAGTCTTGCAAATTCGATAAAATAGTTAATTTTGCGTCTAGACGAGTGGTAAATATTATTAGCCGAGGCGCCAGTTCGAAAATTGAAAAGAATAATTTTGTACGATTATAGTTATAGGCTATTTTTCAATTTTTTTACACTCAATACTTTAAATAATTGATTAGTATTTAAAATAAAAAATATTTGTTGTTATGAGAATTTGTTAAAAAATAATTATTAATATTATAATTATTTAAAGCCGAAAAAAATAAAAACATAACCATTTATTATTACTATAATAATTTGTCGATATTTTATATTTTTTATCGAATAAATAAACAATATTGTACTAATAAAATTCTAATTGATACTTATAGTTAATTGTTTTATATTAAACAAAATATACACTTTACTGAATATATAAATAAATAGTAATAATCAATATTCCAAATTAATTTTTATCAAATCTCATAAATAAATATAATAATTTTTTACAATCAATCGAATCTCTCAAATGAATTTTATAAAAACTTCAATAACATTTTCATTTTATATTTCACAAAATTTACCAATTTTTTAATCAAATTTAAAATAAAATGTATCTTCCTTTCTATCGTAGATCGTACAAAATTACTATTAATTATTTTTTTTTTTAATAATCATATCGAAAGATAAATCGCGTGAAAAAAAAAAAAAGAACACAAATTTACATTCACGATAAACATTATTGAGATTGCATTTATGTTTTCCTTTTTCTTTTTTTCCACCAAAGAGAATCATTTAAATTTACAATTCACTAATTATAATCAACCATAATCGACTGCGGTGGCCTTCTCTTCACACTTGCCACACGTTGTTGCGGGTTCTATATAATTATTAGTCGGGAACATGGAAATTGTGTGGAAGTTATGTGGAAATTGTTCATACCTATGACTCACATATGATCATTCATACGCATATAAATACATGGATACATATATACACACATGTAAATAGGTGGTTAACGTTCATAGATGATTGCATTCATGCTCAAATGAGAAAAAGAGAAAGAAAACGAGATAGAGAGAGAGAACTATAATATAAATGGAAGTAAAACCGTCACGGTTAACGATCTGTGTTATAATTTCACGAAGAGAAAGTAAATGACATTTAGTTCATGTTAATCAACTTATAAATTCTTTCATATTTATATTGTTTCATTTCTTCTTTACAAATTTTTCTTCCCTATCCCTAACTTGTCCCTATCAGCATGATATATATATATATATATATTAAATGTTTGCAAAAAAAAAAGAACTTCGATAATTGACAAAAATTCGATTAACCATTAGATTTATCTATTGAATAGTATAATTGTTTAAACGTTTTTTTTGTATCATTTCAACGTTTGTATTCTTTGAAGGTTAAGCGGAAATGAGCTCGAACGCATTTAACATATAACTATTTATCATCAATGCATTTAACCTTCTATTTGCGTAACACCATGACGCAAGATTGCTCATGGCAAAATTTTTACCTTTATCCTATGCATGCATCTATGCATGCATATATACATGATGCGTGTGTGTGTGTATGTATATGCGTAAATGCATCCTTTTCCATAATTTTCTTTTACTTTATATTATATCTTTATTATTATTATATCTTTTCCATACAATAATTATACTTCATCGTTTTGTTCATCTAATAATGAACGATGGCGTAATCAAAATATCCGAATAAAAAATGGATTTTATCGATTTATTAATTCGAGAAAGTGTTTAATTTGCAAAATTATAATAATTCATAATTCGTCATGCTAACTATCGTAATAGAAACTTTCTTATATACTGAATAAACCGATTTACGATTTATTCATCGACAATGTGAATATTCATTCGTGACGACAATAAAATTTGTACGAAAAAAAAGAAAGAGAAGAAAGTAATCGATAGAATATTTATCTCAAAACTCTACACAATTCATTCCTTTAAATAATATTATTCAAAATATAATTCACAATCGTATCGTAACAAAAAGAAAAAAAAAAGAGAAAATCATATTCACGCTATTTTAAAACTACAATCAAATTCGAAACAATGAAATCTTTGTAAAATATTATAACGTCATATCTATGTGTTACAAGAAAACGTTAAAGGAAAAATAATTTAACAATAGGTACGCGGGAAAAAAAGAAAAGAAAAAGAAATAAAAAGAATTACGTCGAGTCGAGTATTATCTATGAAGATCTATAGATCAAATTGATCGATATTGTAATGTAATTATAATACTGGAAGAATGATTAATCGGAAAGACATTTTGAATTTAGAACATTTTCGCAACAATAAAAGCAGCAGCAACAGCAGCAGCAGCAGTAACAGGAAGAGTTATACCTAATCATATATTTTCATTCGTTTATACTTCTTAGAATCTAAACGATTAACATTGTCGATTCATTTTCGTACCGTTGATATTTCTTATCGTCTAAACAATTGATACAATGCATGGCAAATCGTTTAGATTCGGCCGTTTAAGATTTATAGTTACGTGTAAGGTGAACATTTTTCACGCGGATATATATATATGCGTGTGTTATACACATACAACTTACTGTTTAAAGAGTATTAAACTGATCGTGTCATTACGTGTGAAACTACATACGCAGCTAACACGTTTTATTAATCATTAAAATGAGACACCGTTTGAATAATTAAAATTAATCGAAGTACGTTGAATAATCATAGTAATCTTTCGAGTTGTGATTATTACACATTCAAAGCGTTACACTTAACCATAAGATTCATTTAAACGAAAACTAAATCCACACACACACACACATGTACAATTTCAAATTATATTTGTCTTATAATATTAATATTATTAGAAACAATTTAATATATTTTTTAAACACTCTCTAATGTGTGTTTATTTTATTTAAATTTAATTAATTATCGTTATGTTTACACATTCGAATTGAAATATATATTTATTTTTTTATACTACTTTTTTTTTTCTTTTAAATTAATATTAAAATAAATTAAACGACAAAACAGTATGACATTAATTACATATTGTTATATTAATATTATCAAAAATAATTTAATATATTTATTAAAGACACTCTAATGTGTCTATTTTATTTAAATTTAATTATTAATCGTTAAGTTTACATTCGAATTGAAATATATATTTATTTTTTTATACTACTTTTTTTCTTTTAAATTAATATTAAAATAAATTAAACGACAAAACAGTATGACATTAATTACATATTGTTATAATAATATTAAATAAAAAAATTCAATGATCCTGACAATTGTTGCATCTCTTTTTTTTCTTTTTTCTCTAATGCTTTCGTATTAATAAAAATAAAATCTATTGAATATTAACGAAATATCATTATAAAAATCAACGTTCTCTTTTACAAATATAGATATGCGTGTAATATTATGGTGTATTTTCGAAGAGTTCATAAACTGTGAGAATAAACGTGAGAAAATATAATATAACGTGCAAAGAATCAGTTACTCTCACGAACAACAAAGATGGATCAAACACTTAAGATAATATTGTTAGTTAGTAACTAGTTACAAACTTATAAGTCCTCTTATATTAAGTTCTCGCGATATGAGAGCATAAGTACACTTAATTCTCGCGATAGTTCTTTTATCTTGATTTATTTCATTTACTACTTAGATTTAATACACTTTCTTGTATGAAAGTTGCAATGGAATTAAATCTAATCGTGACAAGAGGTAGTTATTAAAATGTAAAAAAAAAAAAAAAGAATTTAAGATTTGTGATCTTTAAACGTGAATTATTAACGTGTTAATAAGGTACAATGCAAATATTTATACCTAATATAAAAAAAAAAAATTGTTATTTATAAAGAATTGTATTTGCGAAGATAAAGAAACTTTTTACATGAAATTTATCGTTCTTGTTGTTTTTAATATATGTTATAGATAAAAAAATGTAATTACTATGACTAATTAAAAGAAGAACGAATAACAAATATTATTTGCGATTATATCTGATCAAAATAAGAAATACTTATTAATACAAAATGAATATGTTGTATATCTTGACATGTGTTATCGCAACTTCTCGAGTACTTATTGCAAATATTTATATATAAATGAAATATACAAAAAGAAAACAAAAATGTATTACTAAATATAAAAGAAATAAAATAAAATTGTATCAAATTCTTCTTATTTCTCTAATATTTATCAATTAAGAAAAAGATATAATTAGCAAAGGTAAAATGAAAAAGTGTGAAAAATAAATCATAATGGTAAATAATATGTGCTATTTAAAGATGTTATCGTGAAAGGTGGATTTTTTTTATTCAATATTTCTCTAGTATTATGTAATCTGACAGTCAAATATCTCTTACTCTTGTTGTTTAAATTTTCTAATCTTCTCGTATAACCGATAACGGTTATTCGCGTGCACGTAGCTTTTGGTATACGTATTACCGTCATAACCGGAAATTCGCCATTGCTAGTAATTCCCCGGCATTCTCATCAATGCAAAGAGCCTTCCGATGAAGTCGGAAACAGAAGAATTCTTACAGTTTTTCCTAAGCATTGAACGTAATACTTTGATATTCTATAGAAAATCTAATTGCCATTTAAACAACGTTGACGAGAATACATTCTCGGGTACTGGCACAACAACCATACGCAACCCCTCCCCTCCAAAAACTTTATTAAATTAAAGTACACTCTTTTGTCTACGCGTAGAATACTATATCGAGTTATAAATTTAGCATGTAAACTTCAAAAAATGTCTGTGAATCCAATGCTGTAAAGTGTGCATCTTTGCAATTTCTTTCAAAAGTTTCGGTACATATTTTTTATACTTTTAGCAAATAGATTTTAATGAAACTTATATTAAATTAAAGTACATTCTTTTGTTTACGCGTAGAATACCATATCGAGTTATAAATCAATCTAAAAAAGTGCATAAAATGACAAAAAATGCGATGCTGCAAATTTTTCCTACTTTGTCATTACTTTGAAAAGTTTCGGCAAACATTTTTTATACTAAAAGTTAACAGATTTTAATGAAACTTATATTAAATTAAAGAACATTCTTTTGTCTACAAGTTGAATACTCATWTGAGTGATAAATCGATTTGCATATGTTCATAAAATGGCAAAGAATGAGATGCTGCAAATTTTTCCAACTTTGCCATTTCTTTGAAAAGTTTCGGCAAATATTTTTTATACTTCTATCAAGGGGATCTTAATGATTTTTATATTAAATTAAAGTGCATTCTTTTATCTACAAGTTGAATACTCATTTGAGTTATAAATCAATTTGCAAAGGTTCATAAAATGGCAAAGAAAAATTGGCATGTCAGGCATTGTTCACATTGCCTAAGGCCAGGCATTGTTAACATTGCCGGGGGAGGTTTGGGACCTAGGCCGGTATTGTTAACAATGCCTGGTTTTAGGCAATACTCACATTGCCTAACCCGCCAATTTTTCTTTGCCATTTTTTGAACCTTTGCAGATTTATTTATAAGTCAAATTTGTACTCTACGTGTAGCTAAAAGAGTGCACTTTATTTTAATATAAAAATCATTAAGATTCGCATACTGTAAGTATAAAAAATATTTGCCGAAACTTTACAAAGAAATGGCAAAGTAGGAAAAATTTTGCAGCATCGCATTCTTTGCTATTTTATGAACCTTTGCAGATTGATTTATAACTCGAAAAAGTACTCTACGTATAGCCAAAAGTTTGCACTTTAATTTAATATAAAAATCATTAGAATTCGCTTGCTCTAAGTATAAAAAATATTTGCCGAAACTTTCCAAAGAAATTGCAAAGATGCACTATTTACAGCATTGCATTCTCTGATATTTTCTGAACTTTTTCAGATTGATTTATAATTTGATATGGTATTCTACGCGTAGACAAAAGAATGTACTTTAATTTAATATAAAAATCATTAAAATCTATTCACTTTTAGTATAAAAAATATTTACCAAAACTTTCCAAAGAAATTGCAAAGATGCACAATTTACAGCATTGCATTCTCTGACATTTTTTGAAGTTTCCTTGCTAAATTTATAACTTGATATAGTATTCTACGCGTAGACAAAAGAGTGTACTTTAATTTAATAAAGTTTTTGGGGGAGAGGGGTTGCGTATGGTTGTTGTGTCAGTAACCGAGAATGTATTCTCGTCAACGTTGTTTAAATGGCAATTTGATTTTCTATAGAATATCAAAGTATTACGTTCAATGCTTAGGAAAAACTGTAAGAATTCTTCTGTTTCCGACTTCATCGGAAGGCTCTTTGCATTGATGAAAATGCCGAGGAATTACTAGCAATGGCGGATTTCTGGCTTTGACGGTAACATACGTTACGTTAGAGATATTTCCACGATCTGATCACGACGGACGTTACACAACCGAGTGAGCGGCATACCGATGCCGTTGAGGTATCAATTGCAGGTGCATTAACCCGATATCAAAACTTTCGCACGAAAAATGAAGGGGAAGAAAAAAATACAAAAAGAAACGAATGTGACGTACCTATATATATATATATTTATGTAAAGAAATAAAAACACTACTTTCTACAAGTCTCTTTCGTAACTGTACTTTATCTATTAGACATCTGATATGCATATAAATGTATGTATACATATGGTAATATGTGATTAATGAATACGTGTATAGTTTCTATAAACACAAACACGCGCGCACACACACGTATATACATTGTAATTAATGTCTCTTTACCTTATAAATTATTATTTTGATAATAATACTTTGTATAAAATAACACGAGACTCGATGCTAAGATTTATTTTCGAGTATGTATATATAACGTAATTTTTTTAAACAAAATTGTAAATAAAATGTAAATTATTTTGAAAGAAAAATTTTGTTCGAAGGAAGAAAAAGAAAAAAAAAATTCAATTGAACATGATTTATCTCCAATTTAGGTAATTACTTTTTAACACTAGGTTTAAGTGAATGTATATTACGTAATATACATAATAAAAAATTTGAAGAATTATAAATGGTTTAGAATAAATATATATATGGGTATTTTAATTCGATTAATAAAAAATAAAAAATAAAAGAAACATTGCTAGAACATAATACTATAGTATAGTAAGTATTTGTATTATTGTACAAGTGTAGTTTGAATTCGTCAAATTAATGATAAATCCTATAAACCTAATGTTAATGTGGATAAAACTAATCGTCAGTTTTATTATTAATACTAGAACAACCCATATACGTGTATGTGTCTATCCTACCATATATAGGTGTACGTGTATCCATTATATGGACTCAAGTAAAGTGAGACAAGATTCTGGTTTACGCGACAAGCACATTGCCTTCCGCAAGTTCTATTCACTTGTCGTAATAAGGAATGTCGTAACGGAACGATAAACACATACATATATACTATTACTTTACAATCATCCATCTACGGTATGTTCTATCTAACTGTGTAGCTTCATAGAAATGAACTAACATTGTGATTTCTAAACGATTTTATCAATATTTTACACGTTATTAAATGTTATCTTAAATAGATTGCGATTATTTTGATAATAAAAATGTAATCGAATAAATAATAATAATAATAATAAAATCTTGTCGAATTTTTTTTCTTCGCGTTACTTTAAAAGATATATAGAATAAATAAAAATAAAAAAAAAAAAAAACACATAAAAAGAAATAATTGTTTTCAATTGAATAATTTATACGGTGTTCTTGAATTAACACATACTTACAGTGTATAAAATCAATTTATAAATGTTTCGATTTCATTCGTCCTTCTGATATATTTTGTATAGCTTGATCTTTCATATTTGGAAATCAACGATCGATAAATATTAATTAAAATAATCGTATTTAAAAGATTCGCACGTGCAATTTTCTATTACCTTGAGTTAAACTTTAAGAATTAATTACGTTGAACACGTCTAATCCACTACTACTATTACTCCTGCGTTTTATTTCCCTGACCTAGATTACTCCTTTTCTCTACCAACTATATAACTCGACTGGAACGTTCGAATACGTTCTCGTAAAAGAATTTATGTTAGTTTGATTTAATACGATTAGTGTATTATAATTAAAAATATAAAACAAATATATATATATATATTTATATTAAAGAATATCGTGATGTACTTACCCTTCTTAAATTATTTGCGATGAACACGATGTAAACGCAACAACTGCCCAATTGATAAATTAATAAGAAAGTATTGGTAACGTGTCTGAAAAAATAAAAAACAACAACAATTTTTATTTATTTGAAAAAAGACAATTTTACAAATATATGTGTTAATGTATTTAGATATAGAAAATAATTTATTAAGAAAACAAAATACAATATATATTATATTTTATATAATAATTATTTATTTTTTTTTRTCAAATAAACAATATTATTATATATCTAAATTTATAAATTAAATATATGCAAATATTGATAATTAATATCTATCATAAATATTTCTAATTCAATATTAATTAGTATTAATAATAATTATATTAAAAAAAAAATAACATTTTTTGATCTGAGATATATATATAAAAATTGAATAATTCGTTACTTACATGGAATATTTGGAAAACCACCTCAAACAAATTGGACCTTCTTCTAAAGCAGCTTCTATAGTTGCAGGATAAGTCATGGATGCTACCTTCTTTCTTTTACACAAGGTGTACATCGAAGTTACGAGCATTCTCATGCAATATGTACAAAGTAGACCAATGATTATCGTTGCAACCATGCCTAACGCATATCCCGAATTGTGAAAGGCCATTGGCATTGCAAGAATTCCAGTACCTAAACTGCCTTTTAATAAATGAAATAATGTCTCCACGGTTCTGAAAGTAAAAGTATAATAATAACAGTATTTATTAAATATATACACACACAGAGACAAAATCACGAAATTTTTAGATAATTATTAAGTATGAAAGGTTCGATTACTTTCATAGCTCGAAATTCGGATATTTTATGAACATATTGACTCAATATATATAACAAACAATAATACATAAAAAAAAACTTTAATCATGGAATTTTTGGTGTCTTAATTTAAATTCGAATTGATTCATTTTTATAACTTATTTCTTTTTTTTTTTTTAGTACAAATATAATTATATCATAAACAACAGGTCGTGTTATCTTTTATTTTATTTTATTAAAATAATTCAATATAAAAAGATTTTTATTTGTAATAAACTAATATAAATATATATATATATTTTTTAAAGTGTATGAATTTTAAATGTTGCTATAAAGATATTACGGGAGTGTCCTTAAAAATGAAAATTCGAAATAAACTTTCAGTTGAAATTCAGTAAAAAATCGAGAACGTTATTTATCTGTGTCCAAACTAGACGAGAGAAGAATATAAAAAAGATCATTTTATATTCTAATTTATACTAATCGAATATAAAAGGTACCATATTCATAAATTTATATATAATGGTCCCCACAAAAACATTATATATATATTATATATTTAAAATAAATATGTTGTCCATGACACATTATGTTTTAGAAAAACAAATAAAACGTAATAATAATTATTGTAAAAAAATAATGTTCTTTAGGAACAAATTTGTATATTTCAATTTAATTATAAGCAAAAAAAATTCATTCGGTATTTAAAAATATCAGAAAATAATAGAGAATAAAATTTTAGATATATACTGGATGAGTCACGGAACGCGTTACGTTTCAAAATAACTATAAATAAACTAAATGAAATATATACATTGTATGAAAAAATGTTTCCTGTATAGTTAAACTAAGTTGGGGAACAAATTTAATGATAAATAAAATTTTTTAATATAATAAAATAACATTATATACATATATATTTATAGTAATTAAATACGAAGTATCCGATTTCTAATTAAAACTAATCGAAGTAATCTAACGTTTCATACTTAATGGCTTAATATAAAAATTACATAAAAAATGAAATAAAAGCAAACAACCAGACTTATATATATATATATATACATATAATAAAACAAACCCTGAAAAGGTTGATAGGAAAAAAGAAGCACGTATTTGTTAAGGTCAAAGGAAATAATTTGAAATCTACATATAGTAGGGGCATGACCGAAATCATAAATTTATGTAATACTAACGTAGTTGGATGTGCAACAGTTCTATGGTCGTATGGTTCATAATCATCGTCGTCGTATTCTTGAATACCTTTCTTCTTCTCTTCGAGTTCCAACGTGTAGATATTTGCCCGGTCATTCGTTTTAGTGTTACTAATGTAAGATACGAACACAAATAAAAAAACATGTAAATAAAATTTGTTAAAAAGATATTCATCAAGTCAACCAACCAACCAACCAACCAACCAACCAACCATTCATACCATTCGTTGGTTTTCCTTGTTGGAATAAAGATTTAGTTAAATGCGTGTGTACATACTTGTGTTGCATCGGTACGGAACTCGAGTGCCATCCTTTGGGTTCCAAAGCATCCTGGAAGAAGTAAAAACAAAAAATGAAAATAAAAAAAAAGAAAAGAAAAGAAAAAAAGTAGACAAGAAAAAGACAGTTATTTAACGTCTCCTCATCCAAGATTCGCGCGTTAGTTAACAAATGAAAAATTTTTCTTTCATATTACTTTAAAGATTATTATTTGCTTTCAACGCATCGAGTGGTTAGGTATAATGAATCATTCAACAGCAATCTTATCGCGGGAAAAAGATCTTTTTAATAATCCTCAAAAATCTTTTATGATTCCCGTCAATTTACGTCAGTGAGAGGATCTTTATTGAAAATAAAATTTCAATTTTTTGTTTTCTCCTACAACTTGGATTTTTCGTAAACACGTTCGTACACATTTTACCTACACGTACGTGTATACCCATCAATTTTCTAAGAAACATAAGATACATCCGAATTTTAATATATATCGTTTTTATATTGTACAAAATATTGTTCGGTGAATTTAAAAATTATTATATTAATATAATCGATCTTCTTTCTCGATATTAGTTACATTTTTTCCTTTCGTTTTATATATTTTACGCTTGCTTTAAACAATTATATATTAGAGTATTTTAATATCTCTATGTTTTATTTATATATATATAAATAAATACGTGTACGTTTTTAAGAAGATAATTTTTAATTATTATTTTAAAATTCTTTAAGAAGAAAAAAGAAACTAATTAACAATTATCATTAATACAAATAAAAATATATATATATATATTTATTTTTTCCTTTGTGTGTAGATAAAGAAATTATCGCGATAAATGTATTTCTTTCTGTAGGGTTTAAACAATTCTTGGTAGAAATACCAATCGAATTTATAATCGAAGGACAACGTACATAGAAATCGATTACGAAAGAATCGTAATTGCGGGATCGATTGTACGTAGTCGAAATGTCATAAATATTCATTCGTTTGAAAAATCGCGTTAGGGAAGTGGACGTACCGTGAACATTTTTCCTTCGTTTTCCACGTTTATTAATCACACGTGTTTGAATTACGAGCGTAAAATATCGTCTGGTAATGTACGGTTCACCGAAAAAACGTTTCTCATGTTTCAAAAACAAAAAGAACAAATTCAATCGTAATATATCTTTTACATAAAATAATAATAAGACTTAGAATTTATTCGCGTATTCACATTATCGTAAAAAACAAAATAATTCGTACGAACAATTGTACTTGTTTAAAAAATTCAACAAAAAAAAACACGTGTGAATATTAATAATAATATTAATAAATTAAAAATTAGAAAAAATATTTCTACAATAATGGACACAAAATTAAAAATATGTAAATTTTAAATAATATTCTTTCTTCTTCGTTATATAAAAATTTAATGATTTTATAATACATATTTGTGTTTCTCGCTTTTTTTCTTTTTTTTTTTTATTAAAAAAAACTTCTATATAAATGTCTGACGAATAAGAAAAGAGAACGACAAAAAATTAAGTTAACGAATTAAATTTGAAAATACATTTCTGTAGAGTGTACAATTTTTTTTGTTACAATCACTCACGGATTTCATCGTAAGTATTTACATTATCTCACTTTGAAAAAAAAACACGTAATTCCGTGTGGTTTTCCTGTAAAACTTGTCTGATCAAGAACTAACGTATCTACTTGTCGATCGAATACTTTACATTCGAATACCAATGAACTTACAACAAATAAATTATAGATTATTATACTCGTTTAATATGTTTCTCTTTTAATATATTTTCTTTTTCGTTATTATTATTATTTTTCTTTTTCCTTTTATTTTCATTACTACAATTATTCTGTTTACTCTTTTAATTCGATGACCAAGGAATACATATTATATTTATTATATATATTATTATTATATTATA